AGTTAAGCATTCAACTCTTGGCTCAGCTTAGGTCATGATCTCATTGCTGTGACTTCATAGTCATGAAGTCGAGCCCTGTGTCAGGCTCTGTGCTTAGCAGAGATTCTCTCTCCCTCTCCCTCTGCCCCTCCTGCTCATTCTCTCTTTCTCTCTCAAATCAATCAATCAATCAACCAACCAATCTTTAAAAATAAAAAAAACAGTAGAGCAATCTACCAGCAACTAATGAGATTCTCTCTCCCTCTCCCTCTGCCCCTCCTGCTCATTCTCTCTTCTCTCTCAAATCAATCAATCAATCAATCAATCAATCAACCAATCTTTAAAAATAAAAAACAGTAGAGCAATCTACCAGCAACTAATAGAGCCTAAGAGCTGGGTGTGTGATACCTACAGAGGCAGACAGCTTAATAAAAGTTCAGGGAAAAGGGCACCTGGGTGGCTCAGTTGGTTAAGCATCTGATTTTGGCTCAGGTCATGATCTTGGGGCCCTGGGACAGAGCCCCACTGGGGGGGGATGTCCATGCTCAGCAGGGAGTCTACTTGTCCCTCTCCTTCTCCCTCTGCCCCTCCCCCTGCTCATGCATGCTCTCCCTGTCTCAAATAAATAAATAAAATATTTTTCAAAAAAGACCAGGGAAAGAGACAGTCAAAAAGAGTCTTGTTACAGCCACTGTCTTCACAGGGTGAATGTGCACCAGATACTTTCTATTGCAGGGGAAACAGACATCACTAAAATAATCCAGCCAAGTCACTAAACAAACAAATAACAATAAAAGCAAGCAGCAAGTAGGGACTGTCAATATCCAGTATCTAGAGATGCCTGGGTGGCTCAGTGGTTGAGTATCTGCCTTTGGCTCAGGTCGTGATCCTGGAGTCCTGGGATCGAGTCCCACATTGGGCTCCCCATATGGAGTCTGTTTTTCCCTCTACCTATGCTCTGCCTCTCTCTGTGTATCTCTCATGAATAAATAAATAAAACCTTTTTAAAAAGATATCCAGTACCCAGGATTGCTATATTATCTAAAATGTCCAGTTTTTAATAAAAATTATGAGAGATGCAAAGACACCAGAAAATGTGAACTGAACACTGAAAAAAAGCAGGCAAAAGAAACTGCCAGTGAGAGGGAACAGGTGTCTGATTTAAAAGACACAGACTTCAACGCAGCCATTATGAATGCAGGATGATAAAAGAAATAGAGAAAACATGCTTTAAGAAGTAAAGGAAGGGGGATCCCTGGGTGGCACAGTGGTTTGGCGCCTGCCTTTGGCCCAGGGCGGGATCCTGGAGACCCAGGATCGAGTCCCACGTCGGGCTCCCGGTGCATGGAGCCTGCTTCTCCCTCTGCCTGTGTCTCTGCCTCTCTCTCTCTCCTCTCTGTGTATTCTCATGAATAAATAAATAAAATCTTAAAAAAAAAAAAAGAAGTAAAGGAAGGTATAATGATAACATCTCATCAAATAGAGAATATCAAAAAAGAGAAAGAAATAATTTTTGAGAAGGATCAAATGCACCCAATCAAGAAAATGAAAAGAAAACCCTTAGAATGGGGGAAATTCTTTCAGCTCAGATATCTGATAAGAGAACTGAAGTTAGAATATATAAAGAACTCCTATAGCTCAATAATAGAAAGGCAATTAATCCACTTTAAAAATGGGCAAAAGATCTGACTAAATAGTTCTCCAAGGAAGATGTACGAATGACCAATAAACATGCTGAATGATGTTCAGCACTATTAGTCACTAGAGAAATGCAAATCAAAACCACTAGATGCTACTTCACACCCACTAGATTGGCTCTCATCAAAGAGACAGACAAGTGTTGGTGAGGAAGGGGAGTGATCAGAGCCCTCGCACAGGGCTGCTGGCACCATATAATGGTGCAGCCACTTTGGAAAACAGCCTGGCTGTTCTGTTCCTCAAAAGGTTAAATATAGAGTCACCACATTACTCAACAATTACACTCCTAGGTATATATATCCAAGAGAAATGAAAGCATATGGCCACACAGAAACTTGTCTGTGAATGTTCGTACAGCTCATAAGAGCCAGAGATCTTTAATCTGCTAATGTCCAATTTCTCTATTTTCTCCTGTACACCTGGACTTGCTTACCTTGAGGGAACTTGTGCACCTGCCTCAGTATATGCAGCTATTTCTCCTCTAAGGCTCTGACACCATGAACACAGACCTTGTAGAGGAAATTGGAAGTGGCCTCTGAGCACTGGAAAATGAAGAAGGCAGGCCAAGTAATGGACCAACTGTTCCAGTAGAATAGGAAACCTGAACTCCCTTAGCTCTGCTTCAGGGGAAAGGGGAAACCCTATGAAGAAATCCTGTTCAGAGTGTGCCACTCTTAATGGGGTAAGGATGTCTCTCACCTCGATGGAGAATTATAGGGGAAGCAGCAGGGCCTGTTTCCCATCAATGGCATCACCAATGAAACCATAAACACTAGAAAATAAAACCTGAAATAAAAGAGCAGCCTTGTAATTTTTTTTAAAGATTGTATTTATTTATTTGACAGACAGAGAGAGCACGAGCAGGGGGAGCAGCAGACAGAGGGAGAGGGAGAAGTAGGCTCTTCATTAAGCAGGGAGGCCTCCATGTGGGGCTCAATCACAGGACCCTGGGATTATGACCTGAGCTGAAGGCAGACACCCAACCGACTGAGCCACCCAGGTGCCCCAGCAACCTAGTAATGTAATACTATCATTTAAAAAGTTCATAGTCTTGGGGCACCTGGGTGGCTCAGTCACTTAAGCATCCAACTCTTGATTTCGGCTCAGGTCATGATCTCAGGGTTGTGAGATCAAGCCCTGTTTTGGACTCCACACTCAGTGGGGAGTCTGCTTAAGATTCTCTTTCCCTCTCCCTCTTCCCCTACCCCCACTCTCATGTTCTCTCTCTCTCTTAAAGTAAATAAGTAAATCTTTAAAAAAAAAAAAGTCTATACTCCTCCAATTCAATGCAAGAAAGCCAAAACTTTGCTAAATATTTTTTTCACCTAAGTTGATTTCAACAATCAGTCTCATTAGCATTCCCAGGGGAAAGACACAAAACGAAGCAAAAATGGGGGGGGGGGTTGCTCACAACCAATGTTTGTGATTGTTTCAGAGTAAAGTACTTGTTACTGAGAAGGAACCTGGCTGGGTAGGGAAGTTAATAAGAAAATGCACAGGAGGGATGCCTGGGTGGCTCAGCGGTTTAGCACCTGCCTTCAGCACAGAGCGTGATCCTGGAGTCCTGGGATCGAGTCCCATATCAGGCTCCCTGCGTGGAGCCTGCTTCTCCCTCTGCCTGTGTCTCTGCCTCTCTCTCTGTGTCTCTCATGAATAAATAAATAAAATCTTAAAAAAAAAAAAGAAAGAAAGAAAATGCACAGGAAAAATGTGCAATACCTGGAAATATTTCAAGGTCATCTCTCCAGCTTCCTGAGAATAATTTCACTGCTGCTGCCCTTGTGTAATAAGTGCTCTCTCATGCTATGAGCTCTTTACATGCCATGCCCTGTGCTAGGCCTCATACATACTCTCCCCCACCAAATCTTCATGTGCAACTAAAGTATACAGGCAGATCTTCAAAGGTTTCCAGAAGTCTCTCCTCTGTCCTCTAGTCTGAAGCCCTTCTAACTCCTCACTCTTCTGAGAGGTATTACACAATGGGGTTGCTTTTAAGCCAACCACCACAAAAAGGATTTGAGTTTTTCAGTCCTGTTACAGTGATTTCCTAGATCATTAATTCACCCAAACATTTATCGAGTATCTACTGTTTTCCAGATATTTTTCTATGCACACACATTACAAAGATAAAAAATAACATACTCAGCCCCAAGACGGTGAAGACAACAGAGAGGTTCAATAGAACAGAATAACAGGGGAGCTTAGGAGAGTGGGGTACCAGGAAAGACTTCCTGGAGGAGGTGACATTTGAACTGAACTTGAAAAGCTGACTAGAAGTCAGAAAAAAGGGAAGACGAAAGGCATGCTGAGTGTAAGAACAGCATGTGCAAAGATACAAATAGGAGAGCACGGCCCATTCAGGGAATAACAAGTCGCTGATCACTGTTGGAAGTTATAGCACCAGAGTTGAGAGAGATAAGGAGGTCAGTGGGGGAGAGGGGAGTGGTTCGTCACCTAGGGTCCTACTAAAAAGACTGGAGTTGACCCAAATGAGAATAGAAAACCACACAAGAGTGGCAACTAGGCCTACATTTAATCCATGGAGCCCTCTGCTATGAGACTGATGTTTATCCACCAGATCCAAACACACATGCCTCGTATCCAAGGTCCTTCATGTGTTATCTGCACAAATATACCCCCAACACTACCTTCCTCTGCTCCATTGAGGCCTTGGACCATGTGGGTCCTGTTCTTTTTTCCATCCAACCTCATTTTCACCTCAGTCTGATTCTAATTGCTTATTGGCTCCGCTGCTCCTGTGTAGACTTGTGCTTGACTCTTAACAGCAGCAGAGGGCAGAAGAGGCTCATAAATATTTTAGAGATAGTGCATTTCCAACAAGTTCTTGGGTGATTCCAAAGCTGCTGGTCCACAGAGCACACTTTCAGTAGTAAAGGGCTGGAACAGCGCCTTTCATACTATATGAGATCAAAGATCTCTTTTCTAAATTTCTAATCTATCATAGACCAGTATTTTCAGAAAACAAAATAAAAATAAATTACAAGGAAATGAAAATTTTAAGAGACACACTTTGTATCATTGGAGTCAATGAACATATTACTTCCCTGCCAATTTACACAGGTCAGTTCCACTCTCCCAACACTTCCCTCCAAGAACACAACTCCAACAGTGGCAACATAAGAAATCATGGCATGCTCATAATCCGGTGTAACTTCTACCTTAGAGTTTACAGGCAAAGGAGGAGAATGTACTAGAAGGATGCCAAGAATCTGCTTCGGGGCTTTGTGAATATATACTTTGTGAAATGGAGTTGATGAAAAACAGCCTTTGATGGGTACAGTCCCATACATCCCACCACGTACCTTGCCACTCTTCCCCGAAGGTCTCCCAAACCAGAGAGCTGACGCATCTCCAAAGTCTTTAAGGCAGAATTAGTTCCATAGCTGATGTTGTCCCGGGCCCGGATCTGCTCCTGGAGTACCTGGGAAAAACAAAAAAAACCACCAAGGGGGTCATCTGAGAATTTACATGCTGCCATAAAAGCATTTTATACTTTTGGCAAAAATAAGAACATTTAACTCCATTCATAAGAGATTCCTTTTTAGGGGCACTTGGGTATCTCAGTCAGTTAAGCATCTGCCTTAGGCTCAGGTCATGATCCTAGGGTTCTGGGATTGAGCCACACATTGGGCTCCCTGCTCAGTGGAGACCCTGCTTCTCCCCCTGCTTGTGCTCTCTTTCTGTCAGATAAACTAATTAAATTAAATTAAATTAAGAAAAAAATTCTAAAAAAAAAAATTCCTTTCTAAGAGTCACCTGATATACATGTGTACAGAGTACCAGGGGCTTAGAGACCTCAGAGACCTCACACAGACCCAGTCCCTTAACCTACCAGTAAAAACCCTGAGACTTGGATGTCACTTGGAGACCCCACTCCCACCGTCACCCTCCAACTACTGCTGCAGGACAGGGCAAAGCTCAGACTTGGACTAGCGCCCTGGACATTTGCTATTACAGGTTAGAGCTCTTTCTACCACTCCAGGCTGTTTTTTGATAGCCACTGCTTTAGGTGAACTTTCCTAAATCTATCAGGAAGCAATGAATCAAGAGCAAGCAGGGACGAGGATGGCCAGGAGTTGTCAAACAGGTCCAAATTCAGTTCTTCCTGCTGTGTGATCCTGGGCAAGTGTGTACAAAGTTCGCTTAGCTTCCTTATCCTCATCTGTTAATAGTAATGGTCATTGTACTTTTTTTTTTTAAGATTTATTTATTCACGAGAGACACACAGAGAGAGGCAGAGTAATAGATGGAGAAGTAGGCTCCCCATGGGGAGCCCGATGTGGGACTCGATCCCAGACTCAGGGATCACGACCTGAGCCAAAAGCAGATGCTCAACCGCTGAGCCACCCAGGCATCCTGGTCACTGTACTTTTAAGGGAATTGTGAATGTTACACAAGGCAATGCATAGAAAGCACTTAACAATGTCTAGCATGCAGCAAAGACAGCAAATACCAATCTCCTTCTAGTACTGATCTGATAAGAGCATTCATGCTGGAATGGCAGCCAGAATGGTGTCCCTTAGAAAGGCATTCAATGACAGCAGAACTGCTTGAAGATCAGGTGGCCCAACAGCAGCATGGCCTCATAGACCATCCATCCTGGGAAATCTTCTATGGAATGATGGAGATGGAGATGGCGAGGACACCCCTGGTGTTTACCGAGCGCGTGCCAGACAGCGAGCCTGGGGCTGCACTGCACACTGCCGTTCACCAAATCAAATCCACACTCTCGGGGCCCCTGTGTTATGGGCCAGGATTGGGATTGAGAGTCAAGCAGCTGATAGGATACACCCAAAGTTGCATGGATGGCAAGTGACTAGCCAGGACTGACCCAGCAGCCTGGCTCCAGAATGTATGCTGTAACCGCTCTGCCATGCTGCCTGCCAAAAACAGGAAAGAGGTTGAACAGAAGCATGACAGACAGATGGACAGACAGACTGGAGAACCTGAGGCCTAGGTCACAGGAGGCCACTCAAAAGCAAAAGGTTACATCGATGTTTCTTCTAGTACCTCATTCTTTTGTACATGCCTTCTTTCTGTGCTCCTCTTCTCCACCTTTATTGTCTTCACACTGCCCTCACCACCACCACCTTCCCTCCCCTTTGCAAAGACAAAGCTCTTGATTTCTTACATCCTTTCCCTTTCAACCATTTAAACATTTTCATCTTTTTGATTAATGTCAGCTTCGTATTTTTACATTTTTCTTGCTTCCTTTTTGGTTTTATTCACTTTTTGTAACTGTAAAAGATGAGCATTGAGCTCCTTTATTTATATTATGTCTTCTTTAATAATGAAGACTTTAGGTTTTGGTTTTTTTTTTTTTTAAAGATTTTATTTACTTATTCATGAGAGACACAGAAAGAGGCAGAGACACAGGCACAGGGAAAGCAAGTTCCCTGGGAGGAGCCTGATGTGGAAATTGATCCCCAGGATTACTGAAGCTGAAGGCAGATGCTCAACCACTGAACCACCCAGGTGTCCCTCCAGACTTTATTTAGAACAGTATTTGCTGTGTCCACAGGTTGGGGGTGAAGTGCTTTCATTTTTACAGTTTTCACTTTGAATTCCTCAATGATCTAAGGATATTTAGTAACTAAGGATTAGAGTTGTGCTTTTTCATTTTCAAGCAATTAAGTTTTTTGGTCATTTTTCTTATTTCTACTTTACTAGCTTAGGATCAAAAATATGGTCTGTGGAATAAGAAATTTTTTTAATGTATTAGAGTTTGATTTGTGGCACATATTTATTAAATGTTCCATGCAAAAAACTATTCAAGGAACAAAAGGTTCAATATTGTCTGTTAGATTGAGTTTGCTGATTCCATGATTTACTTCTAGATCTTATTTATTTTTGTCTAGTAGATCTCTCCACCGCTGAAAGACATTTTATGAATTCTCCTCTTTTTTTTTTTTTTTTAAGAACAAGACTTTTTTCTAGGGTCCTTTTTTTTTTAAGATTTTATTTATTTATTCATGATAGTCACAGAGAGAGAGAGAGGCAGAGACATAGGCAGAGGGAGAAGCAGGCTCCATGCAGGGAGCCCGACGTGGGATTCGATCCCGGGTCTCCAGGATCGTGCCCTGGGCCAAAGGCAGGCACTAAACCGCTGTGCCACCCAGGGATCCCTATGAATTCTCCTCTTATAAAATATTTTCATCAAGTTCTTCTTACATTTTTAACCCTTTTCATTTTACGTATTTAGCTGCCATTTTTTTCTGGCACATACGGATTTGTGATAAAAGTGGCCATCACCATTTCACAATAACCTTCTCTTTTGATTTAGCGGGGTTTTTTAAAAGATTTATTTATTCATGAAAGACACAGAGAGAGGCAGAGACATAGGCAGAGGGAGAAGCAGGATCCTCGGGGGGAGTCTGATAGGGGACTCGATGCCAGGACCCCAGGATCATGCCCTGAGCCAAAGGCAGACACTCAACCACTGAGCCTTCGAGGCATCCCTGATTTAGTGCTTTTAATGTTGTTTCTTCTTACCTAATATTAACATTGTGACTACACCTTGTAAATAATAAAGGAAACACTTGCTTGGTCTAACTGTCTACCAGGCACTATTCTGCGTGCTATTGGTATGTTCACCCATTTAATCTTCACATTGTACCCTCTGAAGTAGGTACTATTATGATCTCCATTTCACAGGAGGTGAAATCTCTAAGATATTTAGTATCTTGCCCAAAGCCACAAGTAATAAGTAACTGGGCTGGGATTTGAACTAGGGACTCTAGTTCCACAGACTGTGCTGTCAATCATGGCACACCCTGTTTGTGTTTTCATTTGACCGTTCATCTCACCTTACATATACAATTTATGTTGCTTATTTTCTCACTCCCTTTCCTTATTTAGAGTGGTTTAATCAGGTTGCCATCCATTGTCCTCCCTCTTGCTATGAATGTTTCTGGACACTGCTATTCCATGAATGGCTTCCTTCCCTTCCCCATGTCCATAACCACCGTCTACTCCAGGCTCTGTTCCTGCATGGCTCCCCCCTCTCCTCTGCACAAGACGCTCAGCACACCTCGCGTCCACCCTCCTTTACCCTCCAACCTAGATGGTTTATAGGGAAGGATTTTACTTTTCTTCCCTCCTCCCAAGTAGGCTTTGCTAACTCCATACTTCTAGTTGGGCTATAATTAGAATTTTGCTTGTAAAATGTCTCTTCTAGTTCAATAATTTTTTCTCCTTTTTTCAGTGCTCCTGTTGCCCAATCCCAGGCACCCTTCAATATCCATTTACATGAAATAATATAGATCTTGTTTTATGGATCATTGACTACCTTTGTGCTTCTCCTTTTCATTCTCCCCTATCTTAGGGTCTTTCCCCAGATCAAGTGCTTAGATGAAGACTCTGAATCCCTGCCACGTTGATAATCCTCCTTTCCTCAATCCAAAGGGTAGGGACAAATCAAAAGGGTATGGAATTCTTGACTTGAAGGTCTTTCCTCCCAGTGAACTTTGAGGCTGACAAGTCTAGTGCTTCTTGCTCTGTACGTTTCTTGGATCCTTATAACCTAGAAGCTTTTAAGATTTTTGTCCTATTTTGGAGTTCAGTTTTATAAGAATGTTCCTAACTGGATTTTTTTTAATTTTTTATTTATTTATTTATTTTTTTAAAGATTTTTATTTATTCATTCATGAGAGAGAAAGAGAGAGAGGCAGAGACACTGGCAGAGAGAGAAGCAGGCTCCATGCAGGGAGCCCAACGTGGGACTCCATCCCGGGTCTCCAGGGTCACACCCTGGGCGGAAGGTGGCGCTAAACCGCTGAGCCACCCGGGCTGCCCTGGATTTTTTTTAAATTTTCAATTCTACCTGGAACTCAGTGAAATTTTCAATCTTAGACTCAGATTATTCTTCTACGTAGCTATTGTTTCTTCTCCCATCTGTTTCCTTGTCTCCTTCTGGAACTCCAAGTATTCACACGCCCTAGATCTATCCCCCAAGTCTTCATCTTTCCCCACATGGTTTCTCTTGCTTTGTATTTGGCTCTGATGTTCCAGCATCTCTTCTACTTTGCCTTGTGGGCAACTAATTCATGAAAGAAATCATCCTGGCCTCACGCTCTTCTACTGACTTTTGGGTTTTGTTTTTGTTTTGTTTTGTTTTGTTTTTGAAGATTTTATGTATTTATTCATAGGAGACCCAGAGAGAGGCAGAGACAGAGGCAGAGGGAGAAGCAGGATCCCTGCAGGGAGCCTGATGTGGGACTCAATCCCAGGACCTCAGTATCACAACCTGAATCAAAGGCAGACATACGACCATGGAGCCACCCAGATGCCCCTCATCTACTGACTTAAAAATTTAAGCTCAAGGGAGAAATTTTATGTTGTACCCAGATCACCTAGGTGTCCTGTCTTATTCAGTTGGGGCTGTGAGAACAAAAGGCCACAGATTGGCTTCTGAACAAGAAA